TAAAAATTCTTTGGGACATCCGTTAAAAATGGAACGATACAGAGGAAGAAGATTAGCATGGCACGCATAAATCAAGAAACGGTCCCAAAAAAAAAAAAAAAAAAAAAAAAAAGTGACCCACGTAGGTTCCCATGAGCAGTTTCCCCTTTTTTTTTTTTTTAAATTCTGATTTTTTTTAATTTTTTTTTACCTGTCCAGATTCGACAGGTAATTGAATTGGTTGGGCTTAAAAGAATTAGCCTTTTAAACAAAATAAAAAAATTACCTGTCGCATCTGGACAGGACGTCCACCTGCGGTATCGCACCTGCTGCTGGGTGCAGCTCCCGCATGCTCCCTCGGTGGAGGCTTGAGCACGGATGTGGCTGCTACGGGATTCTGAATTACGTAGGGCTGGGCAGTCCATTTATGATATGTTTTTTCTTTTTCTTTTTTTCATTTTCGAAGCCCACGTGGCCCAACCTGCTTCAATCTTCTGCCGAATCTCCGAGGACCATTTTTCAGCCCTTCATCATCATAGGGTGTCGCTCCACTACTCTCCACTGTACAAAATTGTGGACAGTTCATTGACAGTTATGGGAGCATGCAAAAATCATTGGAACGCGGCATCGCTCCACTTGCTGTACACTATACAACACCCGAATCCATGAGTTGCCTAGGAGACACGGGCGCAGCTCTACAAGACACAGCCTCGATAGCATATTGTACGCCCAGACTCCAGGCTCGTTGTCAAAAAAGGCGGACGGGCGCAGCTCTACAAGACATAGCCTCGATAGCATTTTGTACGCCCAGACTCCAGGCTCGTTGTCCAAAAAGGCGGAGGGTCCGTGGGCTCTTACGAGGACTGTCCACGAAAGTACTTGTGCAGGCTGGGAGCTATACAAACATGGACAGTCAATTTCCACAAATTTTTGTTTTGTTTTTTGGATTGAAACTTCGTATACGGGAGACCTACTTAATTGACGAGGTGATAAGAGCATCCCCGGTAAGTAGAACCCGCGTACACCTGCTGGAAATCGGGTCCAGCGTCCTTTTTGTTCAATGATGAGAATGTAATAATAATGTATGTGCTGGAAATCGGGTCCATCATCCCTGTGAAGTGATATGAATGTATCTGCTGGAAACCGGGTCCAGCGTCCCAATGCAGAGTAACTGTTGTGTTGACAGCTCCATCTACCTATGTATATTACACGTTGAGAAAAAAAATATATATGTCAGAAGCGAAACCCTAACGAGGGTGTGATATATGTGTGATGTTTGTGATGTATGTGTACAATATCGATCAAAATCTAAACACGAAACTCTAAAAATGATGTGATGTGTATGATCTTTATCAATCAAAGCATAAGCACGAATCACTATCAATTATGTAATATGTATGTTCTGGACATAGAGTCCCTATTCCTATTGTTTCTGGCAAATGTCCAAGCCATTTGCACGCCGATAATGGACAGTAAGTGGATTGAAGTCCCGCTGTTCATTTTCGTACAGTGGACAGTAGTGGAGCAAGGCCCATAAGTTCACAAGTATAGTAGTACAGGGAACCCCGCTGCAGCCCCATCAATATTCCCCGGAGGGAACATGCGGGACCTGCACCTGGTCGCCATTACCAGCCAGGGGCCAGCTGGCAAGATCAGGACCAAGGATTGGCCAGTCACAGCGCCTAACCTGTAGGTGGGCAATACAGGCCAGTGGTCAGCCAGTAGCACCAGGACAGAGCATCGGTAGGCAGCACGTATACCCCTCATGGGTTCAATTCATGCTACTCTCAGTACCTACCTGGACATACCTCGTGGAAGCCTGTTGCTTCTCCCGATCAGCATCGATGCGTTTTTTTTAGTATATAATAATTGATCTAGGCTACCAACCGCGTCACCTTGTTTTCCCGGGCAGCCTGGCCAGCGAAAAAAAAAAATAAAAAAATATCCGAAAACAAAGTCTGTTAAGCAGGAAAATAAACTGAACAGTTTTTTTTTAAGTCATCATTCGTTTCATTTCAAAATATCAAAGAGGCCGGGGACCTCGCAATTCAACCCGGAGATACTGGGCCAATACCCAGCTTAGGCTCCTGCTGGAAAGCCGGTCCAGCGTCTATTCAACTAGTATCCCTTCCACCACGAGGTTCGCACAAACCCTACTTACGATCTTTTCATCAAGCACTAGGTCTGCTATTCTACTATACACTCCACAAATTGTAAAGCATTACAACTAGCTATTCCGCAGGATGGAGTCTATCCCACGCTGTTGAATGCCTAATCATTCCAGGCTAGCCATTAAGAAAACCTTGTTCTCCCCTGGAATGGGCTGAAAGCAGTCTGAATACTCTTAGAGAAGTTTCACACACACACACACACACACACACACACACACACACACACACACACACACACACACACACACGCACACACAAAGGGGGTAATGGGTGTGGCCCCATCTCGAATACGTGCTGTTTCTTCTCCCCACCACGCACACGATTTTCTATTTAAGGATAGATTCATAAGGGCATGGCTAAAAACCATACCCTTCCAAGCTTATCTTTGGGGCCGGTTTCCCCTATAAACTTTCCAACCAAGCGCTGGAACTGGTGATAAATTTCCCCCTATAAGGCATGGGACTTCACACCTGTTAACCGGACAAGGCTTTGGCTGCCTGGACCAACTTTCCGCTGGTATGAATGGTCCCCGAGCCTGCCCTTGCCTTTCGCGGAGGATGGAGCCTCCTCTTGCACCTTTTCCTGGGCCCTCCCATGCTCAGTCCCTTCTGGTCTGGACCTTGGGAATAAACCACCCTCCCTGGAAAAGCTAGCCCCCTAGGCACTGGGCCCGTTGGACCATTTCCGGACAAGATCTCCCCTGAGTAACCGGGACCACCTTTGTAAACCACGGCCAGGAAGACAAACGGAAACTGTACTTAACAAAGGCGTATTCTAAACAAGAACCTCTCACACCTGAGTGGCGCAGTTCGTACTACCTGGTCCCGTGTGGTCGCTTGGTGACGGTTCTTCGAAACCGCGTGGGCGGCCCACGTGCCCTGGTGGCCATGACTGTGTCTACTCTTGCGCTTGGCATCACGTTGCTCGTTTGCTGCCTAGCTGTTACCACTTGCACTCTTGTAGCTGCTGCTGGTAGCCATCGCGATCTGCCCTGTCTGCCAGCTGCTGTGGTCCGCCATATCCACAATTACTTTGCTCAGTCCCTCCAGTCGGGTAACGACGGCTAGCTCGCTCATACTCATTGCTGCATTTTTCACCTTGCTGCATTGCCACTCGGCCGAAGTGCGCTTACTGCCATTGGAGGAGCTTTCACTATTCGGACCTCTTCCATTTACCCGGTTACTGTACCGGAGCCGGAGCTCTCTGGAAACCGCCGCTACGTACATCTGAAACGGTATTCACCAGTTCGAAGTAGCTGATGTAGGACCCAGGGTTCGATCCCTAGTTCCCCAACTTACCTGTGTACAATATCTGTGACAACTTGAAGAATTGAACCTGCGACCTGTAGAMCCGCCAGTGGTAAGTAGGTCTGTCGTAGGTCTTTAGGTAGCCAGGATTTGATCCATAGACCTGTAGAGTAGAAGTCCAGCTGCAGTCCTTCTAGAAGGTTGGCAAGTGGTCAAGTGTTGTGACTAAAGCAAGCCCATGTTGGAGACGAGGACTAGTGGCAAGGGCAAATAGTAGGACCCCAGTGCAACTGCACTGCGTCGTAGGGTTGTCACTATGCAGTCATGGGAAAGTCTAGAAAGTACCAGTCCGGTCCAGCAAGTACCACGGGGGGGGACTGTGTGCCTCATGGGCCAGGGATGCAAGGCAAACGAATGCAACACAGAAGTATAAATCCAGAGGCTGCGTCCAGCCATTCATTCATTCCTGCGGAAGCTCTGCGGAAGCGCTGCTCGGGCGTCTTGTGCAAGGGAGGTCTGCAGATGGCCTGAAGACGAAGTGGGCAGAAGTTAGTGATAGGCTTGTTAGCTGTTAGTGGCCATGCGCCATAGCCATAGACAGTTAGTGAGTGTGTATGTGTGTGTGCAGTGATTGGCGTGCATGGTATCCAGGGTGATCCGGAGTCGAGTTGCGTGTGAACTCTGAGTCGAACGTGTAAGTGTGGGCGCCCAGCGCCATAGTCAACTGAAGTGAACTTGGAATTGAGTTGAGTTGCAAGCTACCATATCTCCGAGTTTGAGTTGGGTGCACAGGGCCAAGTTATTCTCATCTGTTGCATGCATGTTTGAGTGTGAATTTGCAAGACTGATTTCACATCTTCTGCGTAACACTTGGCGCAATGGCATCAGGCGCGGTAATACCCTCGTTCCTTGGTTGTGCCCACCACCCACCCCCTGACCCCCACCCTGTGCAATAGAAACGAATCTTCCCAGTTGCCTGCCTTACCTCCTTCCTAACCCCATCCTTCTCCTCAAAATCTTCCCATCTACAAATCCAGTGTTCCGGGCCATGCCCGTGTGGAACGTCGTCCCTTTTAGTACGCTATGGGAAAGGTTTTGTTCTCTGATGATCCGGTGGGATGAGGACCCGTGAAAAGTACTTTAGAGCGAGCTTCATCACCCTTTGTCCATGCGTCGGCCTTCTTAGGGCCGCCAGACTAAAATGGGACCTTGCTGCTTCTCTCAAGCTCGTTTTCATGCTCTCCCTTCCTCCTTCTCCCCCTCCTTTCCGACTTTTCCCAACGAGGGTCTGGCTGGGGAAGGAATTCTTAACGATCGGTTTGCCTGGAGTTGAATTTGGGTATATGCATGTTTCTGTACGTGTGGTATTTTGTGTTGATGATTGCTTTCCTAGGCCCTCCTGTATGCGTCTTCTCTGGAGTTTTAGCTGCGCTACCTCAAGAGACACCAGCGGAGATTCACTTATGGAGTTGCTCGCCTACGTCCACGCAGCACTGATGTTCCTGATCGCCTTCATGGCATACCTTGCGTTCCTGTCGTTTATGGACCTACAATTGTTACGGTCAGGGTTAGACACTGGAGCATGCCGTTTTGCGAGGATGGGACAGCGGTGCGTGCCAATCGAGCGTTATTGGCAGTTTGGAGAGAGTACTTCTCCAAGTTGCTGTATGGGGATATGAAGGAGAGATCCATGGACACCATACCCCTTCCTGCCGCAAAGGCAGCTGGCCTGCAGATTGTGATCCGCTACGTGCACGGTCATCCGTTCGGGTGGGGCACTGGCAGTTGCTGGGATGACCTGATCGAAGCGTACTGTTTGGCGTCCCAGTATCAGATCAACGGCTTGTGCGAAAGGATCTTACTATTGGTGTGCAGAGTTGCCCATCCTCGAGAGCTCGGCGATCTGCTAAATGCAGCGATCCCACGGCAAGCAGAGGAAGTCCTCAACGCTGCTGTGCAAGTACTGAATGAAGTTTGGGCCTTTGAGTCAAAATCATTCCTGGGTTGGAGCAAGGAGAGCATCACCTATTGCCTGGAGAATGTGACATTCTATCCGAACGTTACGGAGACGGTGGTCGCAGAGGCAGTTCTTTGTGCCACCACATCTGGGACCTGGAGTGCTGGTGTTGTTGAGCCAAAAACCACTGAGTCAGACATTCCATCTGGGAACTGGTGTGGTGGTATTCAGCAAAACGCCGCTCACATTCCATCCGGCGGGAATCGGCGTGCTGGTATCGTCGAGCAAGGCGTTGGTCACATTCCAACTGGGAACGCGTCGCAAGCTGGTGGTATTCAGCCAAGCACCGCAGCTCACAATGCCATTCCATATGGTTACTTGCAACAGTGGCAAGCTGTTATTCCATTCGGTTACGAGCATCATGAGCATCATGATGCTGTTTTTCACGGAAACACTGAAGCAGCTCCCATTCCATTTGGTTATGGGTGTGATGGTATAATTCAGCAAAACGCCTCTCACCTTCCATTTGGCAACCGGCGTGCTGGTTTTGAGCAAAACACCGCGGCGGCGCGCTTTTCGTTTGGGAACTGGCGCGCTGGTCTTAAGCAAAACACTGGAGAAGCAGCAGCTAAGGAGGCAGAGAAACCTGTTGTGCCGCGGATAGTACACGCCTGTAAAAAAGCGTTAAGGAACTGTGCGGCCGCGGATGGAGAGGAGTCAGAGGACCTGGTGGGGTGTTCATTGTCCAGGTAGGACTTGCAGGCAATACTGGAATGCCACATCAACCTTGCATTCCTTGATCCTTCATTTCTGATGAAGAAGATTGAACCGTTGGAAATCATACGGCCAGAGGTACTTGCGGCAGTTTACAGAGTACAATGTCATGCGATCTGCTGCTCACGAGGACTCTCGACCCAGTCCATCGTCACAATACCCTGGCGTTCTCTAGTTCCCAGGGTGTCATTTGCAGCTGTAAAGGTAGGCCAGGAGGGCACTATCCAGAAGTCATACTCTCAGGTCTCGCTTCCAACGCTTTGGCAGGCTGAATCGGATGTCATCGTGTCGGACGAGCTGCCGCAGCGCGTACGATGCACAACAGCCCGAAGTATGAAGCTTATACGGATGCATTTACCTCTTGTCAGTGGCAAGCACATTTGGAAGGTCCGCTGCCTAGAGCACTGTACCTGTTTGGGCGTCGGCGTTACATCGTCGACTTTCGAGTTCACGTACGTCTGTTCCTCGCCGAGAGCAAAATACTGTCGCGATTCTCAAAAACGCTCAGACGGAAGCACCAAGGCGCACTGGCGTAGTCTGTCACAGGAGTTTCTTATTTCATCCGGGTTCGGAACATTCAATCGATCAGGTGCTACTGTGTTTGTAATCTTGGACATGACGATCGCTGACTTTTGCTGATAAGCTAGAGCACTACATGACGCATAATGAAGGGGAGTATCCTGTGGCCTTTGACGCGCTTCCATGTGATACTGCAATGTACCCAGCTGTGTTTATGATGAATCCTGGTTATGCAGAGATAGAATGGATTCAAAGTTCCCCTCGACCCCAGCTCGTCCATCCGGGGTGAAGTATTTGTGATCATGTGAGAGAGTTGATCTCCATCGTACTTCATGATCGCTACCTGATCCAAACAATGAGACCGACAACTGCATGATGAATTGCGGAGCAGGGTCATGGAGTTGCATGGAACCGCAGCATGACCAAATTTGCGGCATCTACTGCTAACCTCAACAGATCATGGCTCCTCGCTTCTCTCTCTCTCTCTCTCTCTCTCTCTCTCTCTCTCTCTCTCTCTCTCTCTCTCTCTCTCTCTCTCTCT